GGCAGGGAAACAGTTCAATTATTACCGGGCTGGGGCGGACTGACCCCGCTCTCCCTCCACCGGCCACTCTGCAGGCACTGCCAGAGCACTTTGACCTGAGAGCACCGGGGAAAGGGGGCCTCAGAGTGTGGTCAGAGTCTCTCAGCGGGGAGTGAGAGGATTTCATACGACGGGAGGAGGCAAGCTGTCAGCAGCACTGCAGGTATCAGGAGCCCTCCTGCAGTCACACCTGATTCTGTTTCTATATATTCACATATATATGTGAATATACTTTATATACTGTATATATATATACATATATAGTATTAGGTATGCACCAATACCAGAACGCTGATAGCGTTCCTTTGGCTGCCGGAAGGTCCCATGCTTGCTGAGTTCTTCAATTGTGGAAAATAATGCATTATGGCCAATAGATGGAGCACAGGATCATACTAACACGTATTTATTACCTAAGATCCTCAGCTGCATCTAGTGGTTACAATGCTGTATTTATCCACATTGATGAACATTTGACCAGAATAAAAATGATTTCCAGAGGCAGAGTCAGCTGTGCCCCCTCCCTCCCCTGTCCATCCCTCTAGTCTGCGCTAGGGAAACAGAGAGAGGGGAATCCCTGCGGGGAGTGGAGACTGATATTCACCGCTCTCTGCAGGTAGATGATCGGGAACTCAGTGATCAGTGGTATGTGATCGCTCAGTTCTCGATCTATAGAGTCAACGTGTGACAGCTTTAGTGTCACACGTTAGCTCTAATTATAGGGATGAGTGTATTTCCTTTCAAGTTAAACTGTTTTTTATGCTGTTGTTTGATTTCGCTCTATGTCTATTGCTAAAAGGAAACATTTTTTAATAAAAAAGAATCTGATTTTTTTTTAAAAAGCTAAACTAATGACAAAAAAAATGAATCCACTTATGTACTCTGACAGAGAGGAGTAGTACCTACAGCCATTCATGATTCTTTGCACTGTGCTGTCAGTTTAACTCTGTGCTACTTCTCCACTGTCTATCTCTAGGTTCTTGCACAAACTGGATTGTTTATAAAAAACCTAACTATAGGAAAAACACAATTATCAGCCCATTGGCACATAGTAGAATGTGCATCACATTATAGGGTATATACAGTCCTTTGTCCCAGGCTCTGATTGACCATTATAGGCCAATACTGCAGCACAGAGCTCGGTGGTTAGCAGTTCTGCCTTGCAGTGCTGGGTTCCCTGGTTTGAGTCCAGGTTGCGGCAAGACACTATTAGCATGGTTTGCATGTCCTCCCATGTGTTATACAACTGTTGCAGGTTCTGATTGGCCAATGCTGCAGCACAGAGGCTTAGTGGTTCTGCATTGAGAACCCAGATTTGGCCAGGACACTATCTGTATGGAGTTTATATGTTCTCACTTTGCTTGTGCAGGTGTCCTCCCATACTCATACAAAGACATGACACCTGTCTACATTAGTCATAGTATGTGTGCGGATCAGATCGGGATCCTTAGATTGTAAACTACTTGAGGCCTGGGACATATGTGCATGAATGGTATGTAACATGCTCAGAACCGGATTTACTCTCCCTGCTGCCCCAAGGCCAGGTTCCTCAATGCGCCCCCCTCCCCGCTCCTCCCTCCCCAATGGAGAATGGGGCGGCAGGGTGAGTTTGAATTTTTTATTGTTTTTTTATTTTTACTTTTTTAATCGCTT